AAGGGTTCACAGGGTCATTGCAAGGAAGGTGACGAAAGGCATACCGAACAAATTTCCTTTGAACAGATTCAATCCTCGCTATCCAAACTGTTCGATACGGGCACCATACTACCGAGCTGAATTCCAAGATCGATCGCACTAGAGAGCAGTATAGAGCTTTTAGACAGGCAGGATCGCGAAACTCGTCAGCGATCTTGAAAATGAACCCGAGTTGCCTGTTAGCTTTCTCAACGATGCCCGAGTAATGAAGCTTGAATGTTAAGGCGCACTCCAGCGTGATTCCTAGGTCACGAACATTGTCCACACGTTGCAGAAGTTGGTGATTTATCGTATAGTTGAATGCCACTGGTTTCAGCTTGCGATGAAATGAGATAATATTACATTTTTGTACATTCAACGTGAGATAGTTTCTTGAGCACCACGCTTCGAAAGTATCGATTAGGTGCTGAAGCCGCACCGCATCCGCGTAGAAGCAACCAGTTGGGAGGATCAGTCCGGCCTCATTCGCAAAAATCGAGAATAGCAATGGTCCCAAGTTGCTACCTTGCTACCTTGGACTGTTTGTAAAATAGTCCGATTGCTCTGATCCGATTCTAACACAAAGTTCCTGATTGGTCAGATAGGACTTGAACCAACGAGTTAAACCCGAGGATACACCGAGTTTTTCAAGTTTAGCTAGCAGTATGGACTGGTCAACCCGGTCGAATGCAGCCTTAAGATCTGTATATACAACGTCCACCTGCGCTCCAGCTTCCATACTCCGAAGACATAAAGAAATGAACGATGTGATCCCTCGGTAATTCTCTACGTTTCTCTTGTCTCCTTTCTTGTAGATCGGGAACATGAATGACGATTTCCAACGCGTAGGAAACTCCCCCTGCTGTAATGAAATATTGAACAGCTTCGAAAGCGGTGTTGTAAGCTCTGAACAGCATCGCTTCAGGATGCTTGAGGGGATCCCGTCAGGGCCAGCAGCATTAGAAAAGTTCAGCTTCTTGATGGCGGATTCGACGAGGTCTACTGTAACCGAGGTAATCGAAAAATTGAAAGCAGCACTGGGAGTGTCCCTCACCGCTTCAGCAACTTGGGACAACGAAGCCGTAGTGTCATTGAAAATGCTTTTGAAATGTTCTGCCAGAAGATTACATTTCTCAAGGGAATTGATGGCGATTCTATAACCCAGGTGAATTTCGACTGGTAGCCCATCCTCGTTTCGTTTGGTATTCACGAATGACCAGAACTGCTTTGTATTAAGCCGTAAATTAGCCTACACACGCCTTGTGTAGCTCTTGTAAAGAATGCGGTTATATGTGCGATATTCGTTGCTCGCTGTTGAAAATAATCGTTTGGGTTACGAGTACGACAGTATTTACAGAGGGCCTTCGATCTCAGACGCTTCAAATTCCGTAGTCGAGCATTGGACCATGCGGGTTTGGGAGAGGGTCTCCTCAATGGGACAGAATCAGTTATTGCCCGGCCAACGACCTCAGCGAAGTAGTTGACGGCTTCATCAATAGATGAACACGTGTCAAGGAACTGGGCAAGCGAGTGACTCAGCGCGTCGAAATCTGCTCTACGAAAGTCGAGCTCATGTACATCAACAGGGGGGTTATCGTAGCGAACAGGAACAGATAGGTTGATGGAAACTTCCAACGCAGGATGATTGGTGTCGATGCCAATCAAAGGCTCTGGGGCTTCTAGGATAGAACATTCCAGTCCTGCAGATTCGTTCGCCAGAACGAGATTAAGCAGCCGAGAGTTGCTATTCAGTATCGAGTTGATTTGCGTTAAGCCATGCAGGTTGAAACCATCAAGAAGAGCACAGCAGGATGCGGGCATGTTCGAGCGAAGAACATCAATGCTAGGAAGATCGTTTGCAGGAACGTTCCATGAGAGCCCAGACTGATTGTAGTCACCAAATACCAGAGCTAGGTCGCTTTGTTCTAGTCGAGAGAACACGGTACCAATCGAACTGATGTGGTTCGCAATGCTGCTCGAATTAGGTTTCCGGTCTGGAGGTAGATACATAGCGCCAATACTTATTGATCTACGAGGCGTCGTTATTTTGACCCACAGCTGCTCTAGAGTAGCGCAAACTGGAGCAGGATCGGTGCAGGAGCTTAGGCGTTTGGATACCGCAATCAAGACGCCTCCCCCACGTGATTTGGTACTATTCTGGTGGTTGCGGTCGTTTCGAAATACCGTGAATAGACTGCCAAATAATTTAGATGAATTAATGCGGTCATCGAGCCAGGTTTCCGTAAGAACTATGACATTGTTCGCAGGCCACGAACGTTCTGGTAATACATCAACAGGCGATCGAACGAAGTCGGTTGGAGGTCTGCAGAATGATCGATCAGCCGAAACGAGCATGGAAGCGTTAAATCCAAGGTGCGGGCATTTAGCCTAGAAGAGGAGGTTGAATAAGCCAACTTTGCAAAAATACAGCTAATATGTGTTTATTTATTCCCTGAGAGTTTCAACAATATCCGACTTAAAATTAATTATTGGTGATCATTTTTGACTGTTGCCGTCGAGTACAGTCTTTATATTGTTGTCCCTCAGAATTTTAAGGGATATTTCAGGAGAATTCCCAGGCATTTCTAGGTAAGATTCCAGGACAATTTTGAGATGAAAGCCATGTCAACTCTAAAGTTGACATCACACTGTTTGACAAAACGTCAAATATTTGGCAAATATTGACAAATATATTGGTCCAAGGTGTAATGGTCAAATATATTTGACCAAATATTGCAATGGCAAATATTTGGTTTGTATTTAGTCATTCCTCTTATTTGGTAGGCGACACCGGTGGTGTAGTGGTAAGCGTGATTACCTCTCACCCCAACAGGCCTGGGTTCAATCCCAGTTGGCGCCGCCGGGATTTTCTAAGGCATAACATCTCTGATCACGGGAAGTAAAGCCGTTGGTCCCCGGTTCATCAGTTGATGGGTCGATAGGTAGGGTCCAGGTGTGGGAGCTGCCTCCTTGGCGTCGGTAGCATTGGTGCTCAGCACGGAAAACAAATCAAGGAAAAAAACTTATTTGGAAATTTGTCAAATAGTTAGATGGCCTATTTTATTTTTGCCAAACATGTTTGCTGAAAACAACCAAGTAGTTAATTTGATACTCTTGAAATTCTTGAGTAGCAAACAACATCAAGTAATCGTCGCTTGCTGTGATCATATTTGGCCACTGGAATAGACGATTTATGTGATGGGACACGTCAATTCAAATGCATCTTTGATTGAAAAGCGTACGATGTCTTTCGCAGATCCTTTGGACTACATATGGACTATTTTTACTCTCTGACAAGTTCCTTCAGAACCGATTCTGGATCAAGTCGAATAGAGGAAACAAATTATGCGATGCGGCATATTATTTCACACGAATTCAATTTGATAAATCAAACTGTATCATTCAAATTCCCTCTCGGATGCCCAACCGGTTCCCGTGAAATCCGTTTCGGAACAATAAACTGAAGTAGAGGATTTATTTGATGCAAATAAAACGACCACAGAGGAGTTCATAGGACTTCTCGGATAGTTGCTTTGACTTTACTGGGATATCCGTTGGGCTTTTCAAGGGAGTCCATAGGACCTGAAGCTTCCCATGTTTATTGAACGATGATTAAAAAAATTCGTCGCTTGACGTTTTGATGCATTAATTGAACCAGTGGCATTAGCTCAAAAATCACGACTGGCGCCACTGCAGTTTCTGAGATTTCACGAACACTAGTTGTTGGGGGATAAACATTTCGCTCGACAGCTACTTGATTTCAACCAAAGCTTTCTGTAACTGAATTTTTATATTAACGAAATGTTCACCAATTTGAATTTCACAGCTGATACTAAACACTTGTTTACCACCAATCAAGCATCAACCAATCAACAATCATGCAAAAAAAACGCACGTGCGATGATCGATGACGTCTTTTTCTGCTGAAGAGCTGTTGGCACAACCCGAGCCAGGTTACAAAAAACAAACGTTCACACTGACGTTTGACAGTCTACAAGCAGACCCAATCTTGATACCCAATCCAGGTATCGTAGACAATTTTCAAAACTTTCTGGCATCCCTGCTTGAAGCACTTCTTCTATAGAGTTCTCCAGATGTACAAAAATGTGCGTGAGACCGCGCGCTACCTTTAAAGTAGTTGTGATATTGCGATACCTTTTTGGTTCTTCTTCTTTTTCATTTTTATACATGTTGGATTTTAGTGTGAGATTGCGCTTGGAGATCTCTATGCCAACGCCAACCCATGCATGTATTTGTATATTTTGTTGCAAGCACAACGATATTCTATGCCCTGGGAAGTCGAAAAATGTCCAACCCGAAAGATTTCTTTATCCGGATCGGGAATCGAACCCGCCGCCTACAGTTTGGCAAAACCGTGCATTTACTAACTATCTGAGGCTCCAATAAATACATTCCATGTTCCATTTCTTGTCCATTGCATGACACTAAAATCATAGAGGTCAAGGTCCCGAAAAAACGAGCTCAACTTTTTGGCTCAGCTCTGGTACTATCTTCGGTCCCAAGCTAATCGATTCACCCCTCGAAACATAGGATAATCCACTAACCCCTCATTTTATCTGTCAAACTTTCATAGCGAATCAAAACAAACATAGTGTAGTACTGGAATTTATACTAGAATGGGGCACGTTAATCGATTTGCTTGGGACCAATAGGCTAGTCAAGTAGTGTGCCAATTTAAAATCGTTAGTTTCGTATTGATTGTTGCTAAAATTCTTTACCGTTAAATCAGTTCTCTGTCTTTCTCTGTTGCTTTCTATAACAATTTGTAAATTTCGTAGACAGTAGGTGATTAGCCTAAGGTCGTGGTGGAGTGCAGTATCCTATAAAATAATATGATGTGAGATCAGACAAATCAGGAGTATTATACGGTTGTTACAGAACATATATTTAAAGTTGTCCAAAAGTAGACTAAGGAAGCCAGTTGAAGTTGGCATTCATATTAATAATAAACTTAATTACAGAAACCAGCACAGTGTCAACTCAATCCGTTGAAACGCCGACTTCGGAGGCACCAGTATCGATCAATCCTAGCGATAGCCAGGAAATTGCAGAAAGTAACCAAGTTGATCCAGCTACTGAGAACCTTTCCAATGCTTCTGAAGAACCTTCAGCAGCGGCAACAGCCAATGCTGACACAAGCGAATCACCACCCACTGAAGATAACCTTCCTTTAGCCAGCGATGAATCAACCGTTGTTCCAGAACAACCAGAAGATGCATCCCACGATGCGTACCTTCCCGCAAAGTCCCGCAGCCCAACCCCTTTATGCAAATTTCGTGAATCAACGCAGAACATTTGCTCTACATCCACCAAAAAGAAGCGACGGCGGATAGTAACGTTGAACGATGACGACGACAGCGACGATGAAGACGTTAGCAATCGTTTGGAGTTGTTGCGTTCGCCAGAACCGCCCGCGGAAGGAAACGATGCAGATGGTACAAGTTCGGGGGCAGTTCCCGAGCTATCGACTACCGGAGACAAACGGAACAACGGTGATGGCACTGAAAGAGAAGATGACGATAGACCGGATTCAGCTGCGTCTGGGGCTGCGTCCATTTTCCAGAACGTGGTCATGATTCCGGCTGGAGATTCCGATCACCATAAGAGAAAGAAGATTCGAGTGTTGGACAGTGACGACGATGAGGACGAGCAACGGGTCGTGGACACTGTGGATGATATCGGATTGACCGGGGAAGGAGCAGACGAGCTGAATCCAGGAGGACTGCTGGTGGACGAGAATGCTGAAGATGCAGACTTCGGAACGGTCGATGGTATTGAACTGGAGAATGTAGAGCAGATCGTTGCAATGGATGCACCGATTATCGATCCCAGTGAAATGACAAATGAGGACGATGAGGATGGTGGGTCGGACAAAGGGGAGAAGGAGAAGGAAGCAAGTGATCGGGAACAGGATGGTAGTGGGGCTGAAGAGGAGCAAGAAGAGGATGAACTGGGAGAAGAGGAAGAAGTTGTTGAGGAAGGAGTGGAAATGATAACAGCGGAAGATGATGAAGGAGAAGCTATTGGTATAGCGACGGATGATGAGCAAGTTCTAGGGGATGATGAACAGCAGGAGGCAGATTCTGGAGGGGAACAAGAAGATGATAATCGAGGGAGTGATGAGGAAGAACAGCAGGCTTCAGATGAAGAACGATCGGAAGAAAGTGAGAACGAACAGCAAGATGAAAGTGAGTCTGAGAAGGAAGATGACAGACAAGAAGAGGAAGAAACTCAGAATGACCAAAGCGATACGCGATCAACATCTTCTCCTGTAGAGCAGGAAAAAGATAGAAGAGAGTCCACTTCGAAGCGGCGTAAGAAGAGTGAAAACGACAAAAATTCTGACAGTGAAGATGATGTGGTATGCCAGAACGATCTGGAACTGAATACGATTTCATTGCTGACGGACGAGGAAGATGACAATCCAACTCCGTTGCCGCCGCCGAAGAAGGAGCTACCCGTGGTAAGGATAGTCAACATCAAGAAGGAAGTGCTGGACGATCGCACAGTCAAAAGGGAATCCAACGCACGGATGGATGCAGCCACGTCCTACCAGCAGCAGCACTATCTGAAAAAGCAACATCAACTGGCACAAAAGAAGCGGGAAAAAGAAAAGAAGAGGAAGGAACGCACCTTTGATAATAACGAGTAAGTTGATTTGTGGTGAAATCTGTTTGAACTTTTTCTAACCCAAATTTGTTTTATAGTCCTTTCGGTGCGTGGAGCAGTTCGTCCAGCGAAGACGAGTTCATTCCGAACGACATCTACTTCGGCACTCCGGATCGGGTATTCACCGCAAGCACAAAAACACGCTGCCAGCGGCAGAAGATGATCAACGATCGATACACGAAGCACGGCAAGTCGGGAAGACCCAACAAACGGAAGTACGGAGACGACTCGGATGTCGAGGAACGGCGAAAGCGAAAGCAGAAACTCGATGAGATATCCCGTCTCAATCTGCCCACCTATCAGCAGCAACAGTTGCAGAATTTAGTCAAGAAGAAAAAGAAGAGAAAGAACGACCGATTCTACGACAAATCGCAGGACATTCCCAATGATATCTACTTTGGAAATGTCAACGGTATGCTTATGATGGGTTTTAGGCTTTGAATGGACGGCTAAGTAAATTTCTATTACAGTTCCACTTCACATTCTGTACGGCTTTGGTGACAGTTCTTCTGATGACGAGAAACGGGACAGACGTGGAGGAAATATCTGGAAATCACCACCGCCCACCAGTAGCAGGAGCGGAAAATACCACTCGAACAGCAAGAGCTTCAAAAGCTCGTCATCTTCCAGTCACAGGTATTAATTGTGCTGCATGAATTTAAGCATTTTTTTTTCCCATTTAAATGTTACAACCATTTCTCTCAGCAGGTCGTCCGTCAGTCCCAGTAGTGACCGTTCGGTGCAAGCCATGAAGGAATACCTGAAGATTGCTGGCTTCAAGAGCGTCAAATTCCACAAACTATGGGAAGGATGCAAGTCCAATCAGGAACGAGCGAATGCCATTCTTCGGTTAATGCAGGAAAAGGGTCTGGAAGGGGAACCGACCATTGCCAAGTGTCGTGAACTGCGCAAGCAGTTGCAAATGGAACGCGAGGCCCAAGTGCTGGACACAAGCTTGATTATCGACTCTGGTGAAGGTACAATCACAAATATGCTCATAGATATTAATATTTTTTAATTGCATTTCCTATTCTAATCGTAGGTCGAATCACACGACGAAGTGCAAGGAATCCGCAAAATCATCAATTGTCACCTGGAGATCCAAATGCACCATCCACATCGGGCCTATCGCAACCTCCGACTGTTACACCGGAAAGTCTGGAAACCTTAAATCGAATCCGGAATGTAATCGATCCCGATTCCGACGGAGAGGAGTAATCCCTTTTTGTACAGATAGATGATCCCGTCGAAGGTGGCCATATACACTATCTTGTTATTCATATTTAGACAGTACAGTACCGTTTCAATTATAGCGATTGAAAGCCCACACTATTTCAATTTTATTTCAGAACCTTTATTGTCTACAATCACAGCTTATATTTTCCGTTTTCTCAAAGAAAACGCAATTATAAAAAAAAAATCATTTGTCTAAATAAATTGTGGATCTACATCATACAGCAAATCATAATGGAAAGCTTCCCTTATGATAAACAGAAAATGTCATGCAAGTATAAAACACGATAGTCCTTAGAATATGTTAAGTATATAAAATAGCTTCTTATTATAAAGCGGAAAATGTGAATGCTTAGATTGCATCGTGAAATCAAAAGTCACTCTCATTAGAATAGAAGAAAAAATAACGCAAATCAGAGAATAACAAATTTAAACAAAATAACTGTACATTAGTTTGAGGGTTCGACCGACTGTGAAATCTTCAATAAAGTTTGGCTTTTTAAGATACCTGTAGTCTTTTTTTTTGCCATCTTCTTAAAAGAAGTGCCCTATACAGTGTTGCGAAAATCTCAAAAACTCAAACCGTTCACCGATGAGATTAAGGAATGCCTTTTTTGCGTTGGGTGCGTGAAAATGTATGAAAATCTCATGTGTGAGTTTTGTTTACAGATTCACACGAGATGTTATCCTCGCAGGGTTTCAGGAAGGCTCATTGAATCAAATTTGAGAATTATTTTCCGAGCATTGCTTTGGGGGCTGTTCATAAACCACGTAAAACCTACATTAAGCTGGCTCACAAAAATAAAAGTTCTAATTTTCCACGGTCAACCTCTAGATTTGTGCCTTTAAGTGAGAAAACCATTCTCTGGAAGTTTTGGCTCATTTGATTGTAGGATGGCCGCACAACCGTTCGAGAAAGGAAGCAGTCATTTCCGGACGAGTCCGGCAGATGAGCTGTTCATCTTTAGCCAAAAAATTTCATCGCATCACGCCACTGCAACATCAAGGTCATCGAGTTCACCAACCGGCGAGCCAGCCGGTGCTTTGTTGTAAACACTCGAGGGCAACAATAGAACGATCATCACCATCATCCTCACTTCAGTAGATCATCGTCATCAGCCACACTCCGTGCGCTTGTGTGGAGAGTTAAGCGCCCATTACACATGTCAATATATTGACAAATATCGTATTGTCAATTTTCCTTACAATATTATCAATATATAAATATTGAAAACGTTAATGACAATACGCTAAAGCGTTCGTTACACAGGTCAATATATTGACAATAAATTGACATTCTGACAATATTATTGAAAAGGTAATATTGATGACGATGGATTGATAACGAGTATTGTTGAAAACTGAGTTTCATTTCACTTTGTCAATATTTTTCCCCTACCCAAGAAGGAGGGAGAACGTACGTCATTTAGACCGACTGACTCACAAAGCACATTCACGCATGCCGTGTTGCCATTTTGTTTAAATCTTCGTGTGTGATATAAAATTGGTTTCAACCTAAATTAAAAAGTATCCTTTTACAGTCGCCAATCACTACCCAGGCTTCATCTATATGGATGTTCATTTGCTACAAAATCTCAAGCATAATCATGTATTTTTTTTTACTTTAAAATAAAATAAATACTTTCTGCGTTTCACATGCCTACACGTAACGCAAATTAATTAATTTAAACATGTTTTTCCTTTATGAATGTTTAACAAAACATCAGCATAATATTTGGGAAACTGCATACCAGAACGTGGGTTTTCCAACACGAGTGGTAATTCCGCCCACTCGACAATCGATTGGATTCAATTCCATTAATTTGTAAAAACACATGTGTCTACATGTGTTATCATATTGTCCTGTGTATTTTCTGTGTTCTGTCAAAAAGTTATAACATTTGATATTGGCTAGCCGCCATCACCAATATCAATTTGGTATTTGAATGCAAGTTCGCGGAATTTTAGCTCAAGTGGAATAACCCACGTTCACGGTATATCCTATATTAATTAATAAACTATATGCGTGCCCATTAATACAGTTTTTATAGCATATTACCTTACCTACATTAACTTTCTTACTCGTCTTTTGGTTATAGTTGACTTTTGAGTATTAATAATCAACAATATAAATTTGCTAAAAATTATAAGACGTTTTCATCATGGTAAAACTAGTGTATAATTATGATAAAACTAAGCATTATATGTATGGTTAACATTCGGTAAACATTATTGTTCTGAAGAAAAAGGTGAGTTAAGTAATATCAAAACTAAAATTGGATGGTAAAATGTATCACCTTGTTCTTTTGTCATTCTGTAAACAACATTCAGAATGGATCTAGAATAGGTTATTATTTAATACTACTTATTATAAAAATCCTAAAAATAATTTAAAATGTACAAGCATAAGTAAAGGTTGGGTGACAATTGGTTTTCTATGGTACACACTAAACCAGGCCTTCGCTGTTCGGTAATTTTTGAACTTCGTAATTTTTGTAGTTTATCAGTAAAAAATTTAACAATTTTGAAATTTATTACGAAATTATACGGGCCTAGTTAAAACCATTCAATGATAATGTGTCGATTTTATTGGTTTCTTACGAGTAAGGGGCTGTTCATAAACTACGTAGACATTAGGGGGGGGGGGGGGTGTTGGAAATCATCCACGGCCCATACAATTTTTTTAATAGACAATTGTCTACACAGGAGGAAGGGGGAGTCAAGAATCCCAAAAAAACTGTCTACGTAGTTAATGAACGGCTCTCCTCTTACGTACAAAACAGGAATCATCGATGCAGTTTGCGGAGGGTCATCGTCCATCTGAATTAATTATATTAAGATTTATTTTAATTTTTGTTTAGATTTTCAATTTGTTTACCTGTATCCACTCTATGATGCCCGATAGCGGGTTATTCTTCATGTTATTCTTACTTGTAGTATCTTGCTTTCGCTTTGATCCTCTTGACGGATTTTTCGACCGATTATCGACAACGCTCGAACGAAATCTGTAAATAAATTGATTGTTTCAAGCTATTGAATATTTTCTAACGTTGTTAATTAATTTCCGAGATAATTTCTTACCATTTTGTATTTCTTTGAACTGATCCGAATGGTGCTCCAAAACTGCGAGTTCGATTGGTTCCCAATATTCACAGAAAGATGTTGATTCAGGTTTGATTTTGGCGTAATCCAGGCTTATCTGTAAGATGAAATGGTTAAAGTTTTACATCACTGTTGTAATTGTGATTGCCTATTGACTGGTGCTTATTATAATATATTATTAATATTATTATTAAGATGCCTTAAAGATTTAAGATGAAAGAAAAAAGGGACCAATCATCGTTGATCGGTTCTCTTCATCGATTTCTCTTTTGCGAGTAACGTGACTGCAAATTTGGATGAACATTTCAATAGGTCCTATCTGCATTGATAACAACAGCAAACAGATTTCGTGCTAAATTTGCCGCATATTTTGATAAAGGAGGCTCTTATCTAGTGTCCAACACATAAATCACAATAGGGAATGTTTTTGCAGCTTTTTTCTTTTCTTTGTTTTGGTGATTTTTAACAGATTGGCTAGTTCATCACCTTTGTTTTTACAGCTGGAACGATGAAGAAAATCGATCAACTCAGATAGGACCTTACGAAATGTACATCTATAAATGCATTTTTTGTGTTGTTGCTCCGAGAAAGTCGATTTAGATAATCGATCAACAAAGATAGGGCCTTTTTAAATGTTACGAAGCATTTCTAGATAAACATTTCAAAAAGTCCTATCTACGTTGATCGGTTCTCTTCATCGACTTTCTCTTTTGATAACAACGGCTTTTCAGACGAATTTATTGCTATTTTTGCCACATAGTTTGATTTAGGAGATTCTTATCTAGCGTCCAAAACATCAATCGGAACAGCGAATGTTTTTGCAGCTGATTTATTAACGAAAGAGAAAAGTCAATGCAGAGAATCGATCAATGCAGATAAGACCTTCTGAAATGTTCATCTAGATTAGGCAGCATCTCAAGAAGCAAGCGATGCAGTAAGCAACGTAACTCTGCGAAAACGGTATGAGAAGGAAACGTCAACAGAAACAGAACATAAACAAATTTCTTTTCTTCAAATACCTAACGAATAGCACGAATCAAGTTGTTTTCAACAGAGTGCGTTTTTTGTGTCGTCGGTTCAGCGGTTTTACTCGAAAACCCCGTTAAATCCGACAAGTTTCCGTCGAATTTGGTTCAAAAGCGTAGATAAATACCCAGCTCGAAAATCTTCGATTCTGTTATACCTTTTTGGCCCGTCTAACCTAAATTCGTCGGTGAAAAGAGTCAGACATCTTGTTTTCGGTTTGGTCGTTAAATTCGCGCGCGGTGGGTGTTTTTCTCTGTCTCTGACTGCCCCCATTTACTCCTTCGAGAAATTACAAACCTGTGGTAAATCGGTAGTGCACCAAAACCGCGTTGGAAGCCCTCGGTAGAGCCGGATAGTGTAAACGGGTCCATCAAAAGTGATTCCCAAACATGGATCCGAAAACAAGAATTCAGCGAATAGTTGAAAGCAGGAAACAATACCAAGGTAGGATAACCAGAGGAAGGAAGGAACTACTTCGAGAGGAATCATGCATCAACGAAAACACGAATGTGGAACCAGAGAATACACCAGACCAATGCCCAGAAACCAGTACCCCACTCAGTGAAAAAGCTACAGTATTCCTCGAATTACGGAACATTCGTGAGGCAAACCCGAGCCACCCGATTCAGGTCGGCAAAATCCTCAAAGATCATGGTTTCAAATTATTCAGCGAAGTAATAAAGGTGGGGAAGTTTCGGTTCAAAATCACGGTCGACTCAGCAGAAGCCAAAATCAAACTAGGGCTGTTAAATCTGGCAAACCAAAATATCAGGCAATACGATCCGAAGATAAGGAGAAAAACCATATGCTTCATCAGAGGTGTACCAAGAGAGTTCGAAGAACAGGACATATTGGACAACATCGAAACGGAGCACGAGATACTGAAGATCGAGAGAATCCGAAGGAAAACCGGAGAAGGAGAACTAACTAACACCAACAACATCAAGATGAGTGTGAAGGGACAAAACATGCCACAGAGAGTGAGTATCTTCGGATGCTATTTCTCAGTCGAACTTTACGTTTTCCCGATCCGACAATGCAGGAACTGCTGGAAGTACGGGCACGGAGCGAATTTCTGCACTGGTAGGGCTCGGTGCAACACCTGCGGCAAAAATCACGAAGGGAGCTGTTCATCTCACCCCAAATGTCTAAATTGCAAACAAGGACACGGAGCGGACGACGGATCATGCCCGGAGAGAAAAAGAAGACAAGCCATCCTAACTGACATGAAGAAGCAAGGATCATCATACGCTCAAGCAGAGCAGCACTATCCGAAGCTCTCGAACAGGTTCAATGGTCTAGAGGAAGAGGAATTTCCAGAGCTGGCAGGAACATGCAACCAACAGGGAGGAAAGGCAGGAGGATCGGGAGTACGAAGC